ATAAATTTAAAACATTCAAAGGACAAATTAAAATAGATGGAGAGATAGTCGAGGAAGGGAATCACAGACAATACATGTCACTCCTCGGTTTCAATGCCAAAACCTTTCACAATATCTTTTCAAATATGGACAAAAAATCCGATGCTTCCGATTGGTATTTTACAGGAAAAATAATTTTAATGAAAGACAATTTCCAAGAAATAAAAAGGTCGAGAGTTGGTAGAGGAGGAACTGATCTACTTAAAAAGATAAATGAATACGAAGGCGAAAATTGTTACATACCTACAGATGGTCACTGTTTTATCAAATGCGTCAATCGTGTTTTGAGCAAAGATTTAACGTGTAAATTTCAAGAATACATCAACGGGTTTTCAAAAGCAAATAGAAAAGGAGTGATGACTTGTGCTAGAATGAATGAATTCAACAAGAAATTTAACACTTCGTTTCAAATTTATAATCCCAAAAACAGACATTTTCACCCCAGAGACGTTCACGATGAATTAGATTGGGTTTTGTACTTACACAACTCGCATTTCTGTTTGATTAGAAGAAGCCAAAAAAGTTTGGGAATTCAAGAAATAGAAGATAATTACGAACAGGTGTGGAAAACGTGTAGAGACGACAACGCAGTAACACAGGTTTCACCCCTCAAACTAAACGTGCTTTCGAGTATGAGTGATGATGCGTTATTCGCTTGGGATTTCGAAACGTATTCAGAAAAAGACACGCGAAGAGCAATTCCTTATGCCTGCACTTTAATTAATTTAGAAAAACTAAGGAAAATGTTAAACAGAATAAATAATCTATTTCCAGATTTAAAGCCTACAGATCCCATTCCAGAAGAATTTTATGATAAACTAATGAATGTAGTAGAAATATTTGTAGGTACAGATTGCATCGATCAAATGTTGAAATATTTAGGTCAATATGATAGAAAGAGATTAATATTAATTTCTCATAACGGCAGTGGATTCGACAACTGGATCGTGCTTAAAAATGCAAAAAAACTAACGCATTGCCCTTTAAAAACACCCAGAGGAATTTTATCTTTTCCTTTATCTAATCCATACACGGATGAAGATTTACAGAAAAAATGGAAAAGACAGAAAGAAATAAAGGGTAATTATTTACAACATATTAATTTCACGTGTTCCTATCAACACGAATCCTCTAGTTTGGCTGCATGGGGAAATTCTTCCAATCTCCCCGCGAATTTGAGAAAGATTGCCGACGTAGATATCGCTAAATACACGCAAGACAACTGGGAGGAATTGAGACACGAATGGGAACCTTACGCCAAGAGAGACACCCTCTGTTTGGGAGCTTGTTTGATAAAATACAACCAAGTCACGAAAGACGTTGTAAACCAGAATATGTCCAATAATCTAACGGCTCCATCTTTATCTTTAAAGAGTTGGTATTATTTATATCATTACGATAAAGAAATGGTGGAAGAAGAATGGTATGAAACTACTAGAATGGTTGCGAAACATACCGAAAAAGAAAATATAGAAAAAGTTTATTCGCACACTAATCCTTTTATAAGAAATTTTATCAGACGATCTATTAAAGGAGGAAGAGTTTCGGCAAATAGAAAATCATTTGAAACGAACAAAATGGATGAAATTTGTAACGTATTAAAGGAATATATTTCACAAAGTGAAACACGAAGTGACACAGAACTTGAAAGTAATAACATAATTGATTTATTCAAAGAATACAGCGCAAGCACAAAAGACAAAACGGAGGTTCATTCGAGACTCAAAAAAATATAATGTACTAAACTAATGGCATTTGATGCTAACGGTTTATACGCTTCCGCCATGTCGGATTTAGACAGTGAATATCCGAGAGGGGAAAGTGGAAGACCGTTTCTACCAGAAGAAGAAAAAGAATTTGTAAAACTCTTCAATAAACAAAAATTCAGACCTAGAACAGCTATTTTAACAGTGTGGTTTGACTATCCCAAAACATGTCTTCCAACCGATACCAGCTAAAGATATAATCACTT